CGTCATTAGTTATCAGTTATCGATTTTCAATTGTTAATTGTTAAATACCAGTTATTAGTTAGTAAACATTATCATACTGTGGTCGGCATAGTCACAGTTTTGGCTAAAAAGATCTTATAAAGACGGGGTTGCTGTATTTTAATCTTTAGTGTCTTTCGTCTATTATTTATTTCTTTGAATTGTGCCTAGGAGTTATTATGTAGGATTTATTGGAGACTAGGTGAGGCTTTTTTTATTTGCTCGTGTGATTATTGGAATGGAGGTCCTAGGAAATAAATCACTAAAATATAACGTTCATTGCAATAACATTATTGGCTCACGATATGTGGTTAAGATAAGTGGTACGTGTACTGTAAGATCGGCGATGCTTGAGCGTCTACAAACTTAAAGTGTATCGGCTTTCAAATTTAGACCAAAGATGATTAATTTACGCTAACTTTTGTGATGCATCCGTCCATCCTGATCCGTTGTTTGAACTGCTGAGCTTTACAGTTATTCCGGTGCTTCATATTCTCTACGGATCCCAAGTTTATTTCATATCGGGCCAAACTTAATGCTTCTTTGGCCGATGGTATCGTTTTCCCGCCTGAAACAAAAAGGAAGAATATTTCTTTATTTTTGTTGCGTCAGAGTTTAAAGGAACAATTCTTATAACTAGACGGTCTTTCACAAATATTAGAATACAGTTGTCATATAGAAAGGTATTTACCTACAATTTGAAAATAGCAGAATGGAGCAAAAAAAGTCGATATTTTAGAAGAAATTTTAGTGAGCTACATAAAAATATTTCTTTTGCTCGTCCCATCGACAGTTTGTTTGTTACTACACCTTACTTCGTTTGAATGGTTGTTTACAGTAATGAGAGGTTCTAAGGAGATGCCATATTCAGCAAAAACGTCTCACCCTAATTTTAAAAATTTTTTGGCTACAGTGTTTTCTAATAACCCTCCAGTGTCTTACTAGTTAGATTGTATTTATGGATCAGTTGTTCGACCTATAGTCTGGCAGTAACTGTGGTGTCTTCTGTAACTGGTTTCGTTGCACTACAGTGGAAAGTTTTCTTCAAAATTGCTGTGAACCTTCCACAATGTATGAGGTTCTTTTTTATTTACAGATAAAGTAAAGCTCATTATTAAAAACATGTATTAGTTCTCTAACCTCTTCTGCGTTTTTTGAACTTGGCTTCTGAAAACGCTTAGGCTACTGATCCTGAGTGAAACTATTACCCCTGCAAGTCGTCTTGTACCTTCACTTTCACAAAAGGGGTTGAAAAAATACTGAGCAAATTTCATTTGGAACGGATAATTTCCAATGGACCTGTTGGGCTCCAAGTCTTGTCTGTTAAAAAAAAAAAACGACGTTTAGACCTAATACAGCGTTTTGGCCATTTTCAGTTGCAACGTATTTTTTTAAGAATTAAAAGAAACGGATTGAGGGGGTTATAGTTTTGGTGATACAACTGCCTTTTCCTACTATTTTCGGAAATATCTCAACGGCGAATGGTATTGTTTAAGAGGTTATATAATCTGAAATATTGCTGCTGTCGAAACTTTAAGTTCAATTACTTTGGTTTTTGATTAGTATGTAATGGGAGTAAGGTACGGCTATGTCGTACTGTTGGTTCTAAAATCCTTGTTTTCACGTTGTCGGAAAAGCAGCTGTACGCAAGCTTAACTTTTGATGGGAAACTTTCTACAAAACAACAAACCTTTTTTTTCCTTTTTTCTTTTCTTGCCCTTAGTTTTTCTCTCCATCCACTTGATCCGCTTCTGTTGAGGATTCATCAGCGGTGGTTCAATAACCGATTCAGACTGCAGGTTTAAGAATGTGTCAGGTGGACGTTGTTTTATGATTGTTGTATTGTCAAAAACATATTCTACATACCTAGAAATGAAAATACGCTACTAAACCTTAATGCTGTAACGTCTGCTCTTCCCTTACTTTGTATGCTGTGTCAATTATCGTTTGCAAAGTTGTCTAGTAGGGATATGTAAGCACAGGAATTTGTTCATCGAGGGGATGGTAGCTGACGGGTAAAAAAATAAATACCGAATCATGAGAATAAGTTGACAGTTTAGTTTTGAGGCAGTAGAGTTAGTTAGCGCTTAAAATAGCAGAATTATTCTTTGACTTTACTAAGAAATATTATTGAAGCGAAGGTAGCTGTAAATGATACTAAATTGGACTTATTTAACTGGAATTTCTTTAATGCTGTTTCTTTGTTCAAAGAGAGAGAGCTTCATAACCATAAACATGTTTGTAATTTTTGTGCCATCTAAATTTCCTCTTCAGAAGTTGCGAGATATTTTTGCGCTGAAGTTATCTTACTCTGGGTTATTGCTTTAACTTTGCTAAATGCAGAAACTAAAACTCCGATGGCTAAGGTTGAGATAAGTCTCTGGCGCTATTGCAGTTGTGTGCCATTCCAAACATGCTTTTTTAATAATCAGCCTTCATTTTTTGCATACGGAGAAAAAGTTTCAAAATTTCCTGTTTATTTCTTGCTAACTTTCTAACAGTCCAATCCTATCTCGTTATTCCTTTAATGCAGGTATTTTGTACTGCTATTTGGGGAATTTGGAAGGGGTCCGTATCCACCCCTCTGCACTCCCTATATTCACAGTTCTCACATATCCTGACCATCTTGTGGTCTGCTCAAAAATACCTATTTAATTACAGCCTTTTAGCTGTGTACAGAGTTCGACAAATGGCGCAAAGTGAGTTTATTTTCTAAAAAAATCTGCTTGTACCATTTTATCAACCTCCCTAGCTGTTTCTCAGCGTGAAAGAGATGAAACAAAAATTTTAGCTGTAGAATATCAGCCGCACTTTACTCCATATCTTTATTTTAATTGTTTTCTGTTTCCTACCAACTCATTTTAGCTGTGTTGCATGTTCCTCAATTTGTAGCAGTTTCTGTTCACTATTTGTTTGAAGTTACGTTTGCCATATTTTAACTTTTTAATTTTAAGAAGCAGCTAGAGAGGCTTATAAAGTAGCAGAAGGAGACTTTGAAACGTTCACAACATAAACACTGTCTGTTGAGTTATATGTACGCAACTCAAACACTGTGCTTGAGCAAGTGTTTCTGGACAAACCAGGAAATGGTCGAGGAGATGAGAAATGTGAGTAGAAGAACTGCCTGGGAGTGGATTTAAACCCTCTTTAGATCCCCAGAACTGCGGTTACAGAACGATTGTGCTGTCTGTTATATAATTTACTGCCTTGCAAGCAGCGTTGTGAGGTGCCAAAAACGGTTATAGCAGTATTTTAACATTGGTCGGTTAGACACTTAGCGAGAACTAAATAGACAACTCTGAAACTTTCACGGTTGAGTTAGACGGTGTTCAAACCTTTCAAACCTTGTATGCAAAAAATGAAGATTGCAGATTGAAAAAATCATGTTTTAGAGTGCGCACTCTTAAATGCAGTGACGCCTAAATTTCTCAACATATCAAAAAGTAAAATCTGTAGGTATTTCATCGCTTAACATTACGTTACTATTAGAACTAACTGCTTTTCGAACCGACAGATAACAGCTTGAAAATTAGTGTTTTATTATGTCAAAGATATAGCCTACTTTAATAACGAGTTTTAAGGTGATTTTCGTTATTATATACGGCTCTTGTTCCAGTGACATCTTTGACAAAAAAATACCAGAAACAATTATATTTTCACTATAAAGCTAAATTTTATACTAATGGAAGGCTTGGCGAAGGACTATCGAGAAACTGGAGATAATGATTTGTGGCCGATAGCAGTAAACGAAGCCACAAAGAACGGCATAAGACGTTTTTTTTTTTTTTTTTTTTTTTTTTTTTTTTT